TCCAGCAAGCGGGACTGGCCTAGGGGATTTTATAGGGGTTTTAATTACTTTTAAATTGGACATTCTCAAATATTTCGTTTTAATTAAATTTTAACTAGGTGTAATATGTTAGCTTTTTATCATTTGTCAGCCGCCCTGAGTCCGAAAGGAGAAGGGCGGGATATAAATGCAATTAATAATAATAATAATAATAATAATTCTACACTCTCACTGCCTACAACTCTGTTGACATACACACTATTGTAAGGGAAGGCAGGATCTCGAATGAGAGTCCAGAGCAGGAACTCAAGCTAGATGAGAAGAAGCTGAGGTAGAGTCAGATACTACTGTTAGAACATAAAGGCTGGCTGGATGACTTTGGGCCAATCACCAGGAGACTGTGAGTTCTAGTCCCACCTTAAGAATGATTGCCAGTTGGATGATTTTGGGCCAGTTACCAGGAGACTGTGAATTCTAGTCCCACCTTAAGCATGATTGCCAGTTGGATGACTTTGGGCCAATCACCAGGAGACTGTGAGTTCTAGTCCCACCTTAAGCATGATTGCCAGTTGGATGACTCTGGGCCAATCACCAGGAGACTGTGAGTTCTAGTCTCAGTTTAGGCATGAAAGCCGGCTGGGTGACTTTGGGCCAGTCCCACCTCACAGGATTGTTGTGGTGAAAATAAGAGGATGGAATATTCGATAGGTTTCCCACCCTGAGTTGTTCATAAAAAAATAATAAAGATGGGAAATACATAAAATAATAAATAAACAAACAAACTTCTAAGATGGAAACAGGAGTGCTGAAAACTGGCTGGAGTTGTTGGAAGTCTCTTTTATTTATTATTTGTATTTCATACTTCATAACCGCCTGTCCCTCTCGGTCATACTTTTATCTATTTTTTTTAATCATGATAAAGAATGCCATTCCTTCCCCACACTCCTGTTACCTCATTCAATAAAGTTATCTTTTTGATTCAATCATTGGATAGGGTTTTTTCCCCTACTCAGTTGATTGAAGCCGTATTTCCCCTCCAGTTATTTAAGGGTGAAAATGTCTGCCATTCTGCACCCACCCACCCAGCCACCCACCAATCATTCTGGTTTGGCTGGGCAAGAGAGAAAACACAATTACAGGGGGAGGCCTGGCGAATTTGATGTTTGTTATTTGCAAACACAGAAGCTGAAATCAACAGTGTGTATTAAGAATTGCAACAAACTATGATGTCTGAGGGATTCACCTCACAGATGCGGCAGAGAGAATTTAAGAATCAGGGAGTATCGGTCTATTTTACCTGACAGCGATCACAGTGCTGACCTGTCACCCCAGGCTTACATCGACACTGGCCAGTTTTAGGATCACACAAGTCCGTCCCACAGGACAGACAGCTGCACTCTACAAGGAGAGAAAGACTTTAAAAAGATTTCATGGATTCTATTTCTAATGAACGACAAAAAATTGACCAGTGTATTTACACCTTAGCTTCAGCAATACAGGTAAAACCTCAACTCATGACCACAATTGAGCCCAAAATTAGCTGTTCAGTGAGTTTTGCCCCATTTTATGACCTTTTTGCCACAGTTGTTAAGCGAAATACTGCAGTTGTTAAGCGAAACATGCGGTCATTAAGCGAATCTGGCTTCCTTCAATGACTTTTTGCTTGTTGGAAGCCAGCTGGGAAGATCACAAATAGTGATTCAGGACCCACGGAAGTGCAACGGTCATAAAATGCCTGCCAGTTGCCAAGTGCCCGAATTTTGATCACATGACCATAGGGATCCGGCATGGTCATAAGTGTGAAAAATGGTCATAAGTCACTTTTTTCAGCGCCATTGTAACTTGGAATGGTTACTGAATGGTTGTAAGTCGAGGACTACCTGTATTTTCTAC